GAATTTTGTTAGGAGCACTTACATGTATATTTCTCCAGTAAAATGAATTATTAATTCAAAAATTAAAAAAAATAAAAGTAAACTCAAGTTGGTCACAACAAAACACCTTTGAGTTTTGAATGTTTAAAGCACAATTGGCTATTTATAACATTGAGTTATAAGACTATCTAAAATGCAAAACAGATTCCCATATGAAGGTATATGATCATCTATTTAGAACAATATAAAACTATTTACATGCCTAACATCACATATGGCCTTAGATAAAATCAACAGTTCTTACTCAGGGGAAAAAAAATATTAAAATAGGTATTTACTCACAACTAACACTGGTTCTGAATAAAGGTCAGAAATTAAATACAGTGTTTCAAATTACTGGCTGTTTATCGGGTCAAACAGAACTAAACTGAATTTCTAAAAACAAATATAAAATCCAGTAGACATAATTATGATTACAATAACATGTAATGAAATAAGATAAAAATTTTAAAAAATTAAACAATTTATATATATATATATATATATATATATATATATATATATATATATATATATATATATATATATATATATATATATATATACTCATAACATTAATTCTCATAACATTAATTCTTGAGTGTATTTTAAAACAAAAGCAAATTTCTAATTAATTTATGTTGCTCAAAGAAGAGATCAAAAAGGTTCTTCACTCAGTAATCAGTAATACCCAAAAAGGATTTATGAAGGGTAGATTTATTAGAGAAAATACCAGACTACTATACGATATCATGAATCAACTTGAAAATGAAAATAGATCTGGTTTATTATTACTAATAGACTTTGAAAAAGCCTTTGACTCAATTGAATGGACCTTTGTGGAAAAAGCTTTACAATTTTTCAACTTTGGTGATTCTATTTTTAAGTGGTTTAGGCTGTTTTGTAATGACTCTAAAAGTTGTGTTATAAATAATAGGCATATGTCATCTTTTTCTAGACTAGAGAGAGGATGTCGTCAAGGAGAACCCCTTGCACCTTACTTGTTTATTATTGTTGTTGAGATTTTAACTGTAACTTTAAAGCAAAATGTGGATGTATGGGGACTGATCTTTGATGTCAATGAATATAAATTGGGTCAGTATGCCGATGACACTTTTATTCTTCTTGATGGATCTCTACTTTCTCTTATATCAGCAATGAATATCTTGCAAGGTTTTTTTTCTAATATCTGGACTTAAATGTAAAATAACAAAAACAAAAGCCATTTGGATAGGAAACAAGAAATTTTCTAATGAAAGAATATGTCCCAATATGGGCCTAATTTGGTCCTCCTCTAACTTTACACTCCTTGGCTCCTTGGCATAGATTTTTCACCAGATTTACAACAAATGATAGAAATTAATTATATGAAGAAACTGACAAAAGCAAAACGAATATTGGCAAGCTGGAGTTGAAGACATCTGTCAGTTGTTGCTAAGGTAATTGTTGTAAAAACCCTTGTTCTGCCCATATTTATACATCTTTCTCAGCACTTCGAAATCCATCAGCCAAAGTTGAAGCAGAACTAAATCGTACATTATTTAAATTTGTATGGGGTGGAAAAGTAGAGAGAATTAAATGCATTATATTAGTAGCCCCAGAGAACAATTGAGGACTCAATATGATACATATATTCTCATTTATTAGGTATATTAAGATAAGATGGGTAAAAAGATAGCTGGAAAATGAAAATGGGGCTTGGAAGAACTTAGTCAATACAACTATACTTAGAAATGAAAAGGATATTTGGAACTTAGGGAGAAGGAAATTAGAAGAATTTAGTAAACTCATTCAAAACAGTTTTTGGAGATATGTCATTTTGACAGTATCTTATTGGAAAGAGGAACCGCAAAGAGCAAATGAGTTCTTATCCATGAATATTTTTAATTTTATCCTCCTAGAATCTTCTATCAGTACAAATCCTGGACAGAAGCAGGTTTTAAAATTTTGAATGATATAGGAGACGATCATGGCAATTTATTACCTTTTGAAATAATAAAACAAAAAACTAGAAGTGGTGACTTCATTAAATACTTCTCCTTATTATCCAAAATTCCAAAAGCATGGAAAGATGCCATAAAAAAAACATTTAGTGCATAATAATTTTGATAGGCAGGATGATAAAATAATGGACCTGCAAAAATATAATTCACTTAAGTTGGTTTACAATGATCTTTTAAAAAGGGCTAAAAGGCAACATAATGCTAAGCAAGAATCTTGGATGCAAGTATTAAATACAAATATAAGTAGTGAGGAGTGGTCTAAGATTTATAGCTGGGCCAAATTTTGTACCAAGGATACCAAGTTGATCTCTTTCAACTTTAAATTATTCCACAGAATAATCACTATTATTGACTTTTTGAATAGAATAAACAGTGGACAACAACAATTGTATGTTTTGTAAGAGAGAGAATGAAAGCATTGAACATCTCTTCTATGATTGCAATATTACTTCACAGTTCTGGTACAGTTTTATTGAACACTTTGCACCTTCTTGCCCAAATATTGTAAATTTGTCCAAAAAAGAAACACTTGTAATTTCTTGCTTATTTTGGCAAAATATTACATGTATACTTGCCGATTTAATATGAAAAATCCTTCCAGTTATGTTTTTAAGCAGGGAGTTATAATGTATAAGACCATTGAAAAATATGCTGCTATGGTAAACAAAAAAGAGGACCAATTTTTAAAAAATGTGCCTTAACAGATGAATAGGTAATTTGTATCTGATTGGATGGTAAACAGGAACTATTTTCAAAATCCTGTGTCATCTACATGTATTTGTCTAGTTACATTGAATAGGCTGTCAAAAGAGATTGTGTGCCATATGCATGAGTGTGTGTGTGTGTGCATGTGTGTGTGTGTGTGCATGTGTGTGATGTCTTTTTTTTTCTTTTTCTTTTAATATACATTATATTTACTAACCCTAGTTTATCTGTAATCAAGAAATATTTGATTGAAAGGTGACCAATGGTCAACCTGTTACGGGGATAATAAAAAACTTTGTTACTAATGGAGCAAGCAAAAAAATGTTGCTCCAAGAAGACCTACCTGATCACATTATTTAAAACCCTCTCAACCAACCCATGTGAGAATCCTTATTTGCATATCACTCAACTTAAAAATAAACTAACCACACCCATGGGTGGCAATGAAAAGTAATGTTAAGAGTTAGTACCCATTGTCTAAATAATTTAGACAGAAAGGATGAATTTTCATCTTTTTAGCAAAGCTGTATTTGAGAAGTAACAGGGTTATGCTGTAACATTAATGTAATTGGATCAGCATTCTCAGAGAAACATAATTTGCTTAAAACTCTACTTTCCCTTTTCTGTGAACTTGACCTTTAGGCAGTGACACCGTTTTGTCTAAAATTTGTATTCATGTGTGAAGTTTCATGAAAATCTCTCAAACTATTGCAAAGTTATGGCTGGGACAATACCATAAAATAACGAGTCAAACTTATCATTGACATGACAATGTATAAATATTACATCCTAAAGATGAAACACAGGCATTTTTCTTTGAAATTCAGAAAAAACAATAATGCACACTTCATTCATGTCACAAAAACAAGAAACAATGCTATTTAAAAATGAATGCTATGTTTTATGTGTAGGTGATTGCTTTAGATAGATCAGAGTATTGACATGGGATTTCACTCTAACATAAGTAAAGCTTGATGGATGTAATTATATGACTTTTATTTCAAACACTAAAACAAGTGTTAGTTTTAATAGAGTAGAGGAAAACTGCTTATTTATTTTAAGTTTTTGAATTGAGATCTCTTTGAAGAAATGCATGTTTAGAGTTCTCAAAGGTAACATCAGGTCATCAAAAATTAATATGATAGGAAATTAATTGTTAACAAATCTACATATTTCAGCTAATATCAATGACAATCCTCGGCATTCTGATCAAAATGTCTTCAACACAGTAACACGCTCTGACATGGCAAAAATAGATATAACATGTGCAGCAACAGGGACTTCAGCTGGAGTCATAGAACCAAACTCTTGCAGCAGCAACCAGTACAAAAAAATACCTCCATGCAGAATACGACGAAGTCTTTCATACCAGTCTCCACAAATAACTAACACCTGCAACGATGGAGAAAGTAATGACACCCGTTCCAGACCAAAGGCAAGCATGTCACTTCAGACATTAATAGAATTGCCACAAGACACCCACATTTACAAAGGAAATGATTCCCATGAAAGTAATGATTCAATTGTAACACTTGTTCCATCTCCAGATGTAAGGAGGGGGGATGCATGCAGTGAAAGACATTCTAATCCTTCTCCAAAAGGCTCCTCAAGGAAATCTTCATCTTACAGCCAGGCAGCCTCTCCTGTGCCAATTTCACCTATTTATAACTCTCTTCCTTGCCACCGCCGCCGCCGCCGTGGTGGTTGTGGTAATCGTCGTCGCAAACAATGCAATACATCAAACATTCCCTAATTTTATGCTCTTTTGAGGATAAAAAATGGAGAAAGAAATCAATCATGCAAAACAACAATTCAAAACATTTAGATTTTTTTCTTGCAGTCAGTAAAATTAAAGGTTTTTATTAATGCTGATGATTGCATGTGAATCAGATAGAAAGATTATTTTTGGTTTGTATTAAGTACATAGCTATAGTAAAGTAAGATTTTTTATGGTAGCTTGTAAATATTTGCACGTGATAAATTAACATTCATGTGTCACAGTATCACTTTAATGTGTCCTTTAAATTGAATTACTGTGTCAATTAAAAATCTTTTCTTTCATAACAAATTCTAACAGTTTGTTGGCCAAGAAATTCTTGATTCAATATCGATAAGGTAAATATTGAAATATTGTTATTCATAACCCCTTCCTGACCATGCAACCTTACCTAGTCATGAATTGACCCATAGCTGTTTCATAATCAAGCAGGCTTTTTTTTCTCTTTACCTGTCTCACTCAATGTTTCAGGTTTATTTTCATATATTTAAAGAACCGCTCCAGTGGCTTAGTGATTAGAGTATCCACCTCAGATGTGGGAGGTCATGGGTTTGATCCCCAGTTGAGTCATACCAAAGACTTACAAAAATGGTACTAACAGCTACCTCACTTGGTGCTCAGCATTAAGAGGTTAGTGTTAGGACTGGTCAGCCTGGTGTCAGGATAATGTGACTGGGTGGAACATCATGCTACATGTCTATGGCATGATGCCCCAGTGCTAAACATCACTATAAACTGCCACACTGCAGACTATGTAGCAGTATGACTGAAAATTTTTTAAAGCTACATTAAAATCATGATCACATCATATCACATATATTTAAAGTAAACTAGTTACAATAAATAATAGCATCATTGAGCATCAGAAACATACATGGTCTGAATATCTGTGTAGAGTATTTGTATATCCTTCCATTTGTTTTTACCCCACTACCTATTTTCAAAACCCAAAAAATCAAGGATATGAAAATGAAAAAAACCTCCATCCTTTCATTCTTTAGTTTACGATTTCTAACCTGATTGTTGCAAATGGGTCCTTAAAACCAGCAGCATATTGGCATTTTAAATCAAACAGAAGCTGACGAAGTAAACAAGCAGACAAACTGCTCACTGTCATTTTTTGTTTCTAGAACAGTCCATTTCATAAAAGAACTGTCATCTGCATCAAGTATTTGCAGTGTCTGGTTTTAAAATTTCTTTTTGAAAACAATTGAACAAATAAAGAGGAACACTTGTATTCATGTGTTCAGAGTTATGCAAGTACTAAATTTATTGAGATTAGTAAAGATGATGAAATACATCACATCTGTTTGATATGCAAAGATGGTGACCAATTGTTACTAAAGAAACTCAATTTTGATTCAAAATGCCAACAGGTTGACACTGGGAGGAACCACCTGACAACAACCAGGTTAGAAATTATCAATTGATGAAGGTGATGACTAAAGTTTGTGCATTGTTTATATCCTTGCTGCTTTTTGTTGTTAAAATTGGTAGGGTGGTACAAACAAATGGGAAGATGTGTAAATACTCTAATTGAAACAATCAATAAAAAAATAAATGTTTTACCTAATAAATGTCATTTTATTTTTAAATGATATGCAAACCCTGTTTTCTTTCTGGGCCAGATAAAAGAACAAATAAGTTTTGATTGCCAAATAACACTAGTGCTGTTTCTGGACCTTGTATGCCCAGGTGTTGCCAAGGTGCATGAGAGAGCAAATTGCATAAAATTTATATGAATTTACAGACTTAAAAAGCAGTGTGAGAACTCAGACAAATTATTTCCAATTGGAATAAGAAAAATGTACACTACAGTTTACAATATTTTTTAAAAAACTTTTACCCTATAAAGTGCTTGCTGCAACAGAGGTTGCACTGCTGGTAGAGGTTTTGTAACACTTGTCACAATGTTTGTCCTGTCAGGTAGATAACCATTTATACATCTCATTACTTTCACTTGACAAGCATGGTGATTAAATTAAAATTTGTTGGCTCACTGGGCCCTGGAATAAGCATATCATCATTGTTTTAGCCTTGAATTCATAAAAGACATTTTACAAATAGTTGTTTAAATTATGGACTACCTAGAAAATCTAAAATGGCTGACTCCTAATATGGTTCATCTGCAGATGATGATTTCAATCAGCAGATGCTGGCTGATGATAGCAATGATGACTGCTTTTGAAAGTTTTGAGGTATATCAGATTATTGGCACTATTAAGGTGTTACTGGAGATAATTTGATTGATTTTGAGCCCAAAAATGATATTGAATAAGTCTATTGTAGATACCAGATGGTCAAAACAGATGGCATGTCAGTCAACAGCAGTATTTTGGAATTAAATTTAGAAATGGAAAATAACAAGCATAATTAAAATACAGGCAGTTTAAAAGTAGAGTGTAATTTTCATTTCTTTTGTCAAACAATTCAGTAATGAGGGACCTTGTACTACAAAAAATTACAGAACACCTGAATGTTAAAAATAACTGAAAAAATAAGAATAAAAGAAGAAAATAAAAAGGAAGGATACTTTTAAATATCTTATGAGAATGCATCAGTCTGACTAAGCATGGTATGGCATTGATGGACCTAAAAAGCTAATACAGTATTATGGAACATAAGAAATTTGGCATAGCAGTCAGCAAAGTAAAACGGGTACAGAGATATCCAGGAGACAATGCCTATGAGTTGTGGAAAATTGCACTTAACTTCCATAAATAACAAGCTGGCAAAGACAGTATTGCATATTCAGACTGCAGATTCTGGAAGGGTTTTCTCAACAATATTCATATACAGGTAATAAACGTATTAGGATCAGAAACAATGAACAGATTAATGCTTATAGCTTGGGGTGGGGGTGTCTTTTGAGGATTTTGTTTTCAATTACAATAGAGCAGAGAAAAAAAGTGATGGATTTTAAAGTATTATGTGAATATTGAAGTATGGCCATTTACCATCACCACTCCACCACTTTCTTTTTTATTCTCGTCATAATTTGGAACCATTGCTACAGTTGCAGAATTAGGTAATAGATTATTTTTGACCCAAACCCCCAGTACCATTTCAGCAATATAATAAAGGTCACATAACAGCACCAAATAAAAGTTATAACATGACCATCCTCTTTAGTTTGATCCAAGTATAAATTTCTCAACCTTTTTTTTAAAATTGATATTTTACATTATCGCGATTTCATATTTCGGACAATACCACATTTTTGTCACAAAAATAGCAGAAAGGATGAAAAATCACCTTTAAATTAAAAATTTTAACAAACAAATCTTTTAATTTTTTTAATTAAAGAGTTGAAGAATGCTTTAAATTTGAATAAATCCTTAACATTTTCAGATATAAGACAAGATTCCTTCAAGTAAATGCAAGATTTATGAATATATTTTTATCATAATGCATAATGAATTTTGTTTTAAATTATTCTTGTACATCCAAGCAATAAGAACAATATTTAAAAATTTTAATTTGAGGTTGAAACGTTTAGATCTTTTCAAAGACTGGTTGATATTTACATCTGGTTACATTTTGTTGTTTTGTGGTAATTATGTGTTTTTGTTGGAGATAAAATTTACCACTTGGATGTTTGTTCATATGTGAATAGCACTAAGAATCGCTTTGTACAAATAAATATTGTCTTCACTCTATGATAGAAATCTCTAATGTATTTATTGTATTACTTTTCCTTTTAGAGCATATGTAAATACATATATAAGCACAATAATCATATACAAAAGTTTTTAAATTTAGCAGATATTTATAGTATGTAATCATGTGACATATTTTAATTGCAATTATTTTCATTGGAATTTACTTAATGGTCATTTTGCAATTTTGCATTCTTTTAATATTCATTGGCTATATTGTATGAAATTTTTTTTCGGTATTAAAACTAGTGGAAAATCACCATCAACAAATCCATTGGTGACAGAGTATAGATTTAGATAGAATCAAAAGTATGTACCTTTTCTATCTTTACTTGTGAATCATGTACATGTAGTTTTATATTTAATGATTTGTCATTTTTAAATAATTAATATATTGATTATTCTTTGCCCTGTTTAATGCAATACAGTTTATGTCAGTTAACTAAATTGATTTGTACAAAGACTTTACTACTTTGTACATCAAAATTTTTTCCTTTCATCATACATGGTTAATATTTGTTCAACCATTACATTATCTTGCCAAATTTTACCTTATACAACTGAAGTATGAATTTTGTTTTACTTCATGCTAATGTTGATGGCCTGTTTTTTTAATCCACATTGAATTTAAAATGTAAGGAAAATTCATACACATTATGCAAGTATCAGAAGCAGTATCTACTGAAAACTTTATTCCAATGTTGATACACTGGTTTTGGAAGTTTTACCATATGCAAGCTTATCATTGTTTTATTTATCCCATTATTTGCTAACTAGTCTTAACAAATAACGGTTGCAACCAATGCCAATAACATTTCTATGTTATTATTCTATTACATTTTTAATAAAGCAGAAGTTCCTGCATACTGGTTTCCATATTGGCAAGTGTATTGTGTGAATTCGTTGAGTAGGTTCAGGTCCAGCTCACACAGTGACTTGGTTGATGTTTTTGATTGAATAGGGAGATACTTATAAATATCTCAAATGCCAGGTAATGTCACACATAAAACTGACAGTGATATGGCATGTAAATACGTCACAAATGATTGTGAAAGCTGACATTGCCATTAAGTGAAATATTTGTTAACATTTTGCTATTGTTGTGACGTTTACTGTCGATCCTGCAACTGCAAATGTGATATTTATTTTAGATAAGCATGGCTTCTTCATGTAATTGGTTGGTCATCATATCATCTCCTTGGCATATGATACAGTGGATTGCTTTCTTTGTCCACACCTTTTTCTTGTTTTTAAGTGCAGATGTTGATGTGTCTGTCAGTCTGCTTTTTTCACAAGTGTGATTTGTTTACTACCTTTTTTGTATGATTACCTTCATATTCATCAATAAATACTCCTACCTGTCTATAACATGTTTGTCTTAGAGTTTCAGAATCTTCACTATCATCTCAAACAATTATAGATATAGCACACTTTGCAAAATCTGAAAGAGCTGTTTTTACCAGAAAATACATATAGCACAATTTCCAGCTGTTACATTTACCATTGGCTCTTGGACCAGTAGGCAGACTTGTAGAGGCACATTAGCTCTTGGACCAGTAGGCAGACTGATAGATGCACATTGGCTCTTGGACCAGTAGACAGACAGGGAGATGCACATTGGCTCTTAGACCAATAGACAGACTGGGAGAGGCACATTAGCTCTATTTATATATCCTATTTGTACATGAAACATTATGGATGATCATTTGAGTTTGGTGTCATGGTCATTCACTTTCAGTCATTATTATCAATAAACACAACTGCTTATAGTGTCTTCACAATGATCTATTCCCAACCTGGATCATCCTGTTGTTGTTGATATGACACTCATAGATGATGGTCCATCCACACCCAGATCCATAAAAATATTGCTAGCCACATCAATCTTTACTAATATTTTCCTTAGAATGAATTTTATTTCTATATCTTTGCTCATTTCACATTAGTTGATGTAAAACTAGTATAGAGCTATATCAGGCAGCAAATATCGGATTTTTCTTGAACTGTATGCTCATTTAATCGAGAATTAACAATAAAACTTACAAGCAGCTGATAAAATTTACATTTAGAAATTCATTAACAGTGATTTTCAAATGTAATTATGGATCTTGAAAGGACATGACAGTAATTAGTTTTTAAAATACAACTGTTTTGCATGTTTGTTTTTATGATACATGACACACTTGCTCCTGTGGCCTAGTGGTTAGAACATCTGCCTCGGATGCGGGAGGTCGTGGGTTCGATCCCCGGTCGAGTCATACCAAAACTTTTGAAAATGGTACTAACAGCTGCCTCGCATTAAAAATCCAAATCACATCACATCATTTGCTTGAGTTGCTGCATTCTAGGACAGGATCAGGAGTATAACATCAAGGTAATATAATGAATTCTTACTCAGACTCTTTTTCTATATATATACATGTACATTTTTGTCAATTTTACAGGTGTTCTCACAAACTATGACCACCATTGCCTTTAATAAAAATAAGATTATTTGAAATGTTTTGAATATTTTTTGTGACTTTTTTATATTTAAACTAGTCAATAAAGTTCATCTCAAAGAAAGAGAAAATAACATTGCATCAAATTCTTTGCAGCTGCAAGTACAGATATGTGTGACATAACAAGGACATATGTGTGTGACATAACATTAATCTGAACATGTATGGGATGGATGACAGTTCTACTACTTAGCATGCTGTAAAATCTAGGCCATATTAGGGTCCTCCATAACTGATATCAAGTTAATATTAAATAAACTTTACAGATTTAATTCTCTCTTATCCTAACTGTTCTGGTGGCTTAGTGGTTAGGGCATCCGCCTCGGATGTGGGAGGTTATGGGTTCGATCCCTGGTTGAGTCATAATAAAGACTTACAAAAATGGTACTAACAGCTGCATCACTTGGCACTCAGCATTACGAGGTTAGAGTTAGAATTGGTCGGACTCGTGTCAGGAAAATATGACTGAGTGGGACATCATGCAACATGTCTGCAGATATTGTAGCAATATGAGTGAAAAATTGTAAAGCTACATTAAAAATCACAATCACATAATCATATTCTCTTATCCTACAATTTTGAGGTGGTTTCATAATTTTAAAGATATGATCCATTGAAGATGACATTCTGGATGACGAGAGGTCTGATTGGTGAGCAGGAAGTGGCTACTCAGAAGCGACTGACGAAGATACTCTATACACATCGGAAGATATTTCTATTATCATAGTCATTATTACCTCAGCTGTTTTTAAATATACTGCTTTAGGACATGCATTATAAAAAAGTACAGTATTCAAGCAATACATACCCTTCACCAAAACAACAACAACAAAAATTTGCCAAGAAGTATACATTCATGATGCATACCTAATCAGTCAATATTGTTCACTTCATGCACCTAACATAAAAGACTGACATCTCATTGTGGCCCAGACAGTGACTGGTCCAATGAACATAGAGACTACTTGAAACTGTCAGGAGTAACATCTGTGTAGAAAGGAACAAAAAGGTCATTGCACCTTCGCTCTCCTATGAGAACTAGAATAATGCTGTTTATTGCACCAGCTTAATGGTAGAACAGAGAATACACCATTATATGCACAATAATGACAGCTTGTATATGTAATTTCTTTATTTTTTTTTTAAATTAAGAAACAGATTCTTGTGAACTGAAGGTAAATTTATGTTAAAGACCAAGATTAGCATCTGAACAGTAGCCAGTAATTGGGCCAATTAATTTCTTTTATTTCAATGGGATTGCTGTAACAGGTGTGGTTTTGTTATCCTCCCAATAGACAAATGTGAAAACATGGTTACCTACCCTGCCAGATTAGAGCTTGCCACTGTATACTTAGAATTTACATCACATACATATAACGAGCAATGGACTAAAGCTGTCCATGATTGTGATGGTGCATAGATATAATTGCCTGCGTGTTGAAATAATGTTATTAGTTATCTCTGATGCTTTTTACTGAATTTATTTTTTCATAATTTGATGGTGAGTTTTTTGATAAAATGTATACAAATGGATTAGTGGCCCTCTCCATCATTGGTTGTATATATTGATGAGAACATTTTATTTAGTTTTAAAAAAAAATTCAGCAACTCATTGATAATTACATATCATATAAAAGATGGTAACTTTGTTTATTATCCAATTTCATATCTTTCATTTATCATCATTCATTCAAGGACATGAAACAAATATTATGTGCATGATTTCCCAGTGCTAGACATTACTATAATCTGCTGCAATGCAGACATCTTAGCAATATGACTGAAACATTGTTTAAGCTACATTAAAAAGTCATTGTTAAAGCTACATTAAAAATCCAAATCACACACACAATATTGTCATTGTCAAGTTGAATGTAGCATAACATACATCAAATTTGAGGTGTCCACACAGTGCTTAGGCAATATATTTTTACTTTCTTAGTGAATGTAGTGAGTTAAAACTTGGGATTTAACTGGAAATAAAATCATGTAATGCTGAACACAATTTAAATGCATATGTGAGTATAAATATACATTATACGAGTCTGTAAAATGTCTGTGCAAGAATAATGTGGTGTTTACCACTGTGTACCAGTAATTATACTGTTCAAAGAGAATTCTTTATGTAGTATTATATTACTGTACATGCATTATGCATTGCCTAGGATAATATAATCACTTGATTCAAAAACGTAATCAGAATTGTTTGCCTAAAAGTTTCAACATGTATCCATAGATTAGCAATGCTTTTAGTTTGGTGTACTTCACACTTGGGTGGGAGCCCCGAGGGGCCGAGTGGTCTAAAGCGATGTCCGTTACGGATCACTGCCATCTTACCTCTGTCTGCCTGGGATTCGGTGAATGTGGATATGTGAGAAAGCTTGCCAGTAGCTTCTCGTGGGTCGGTGGTTCTTTCCGATGATTTCCCGCTTTCTTCCTCCACCGTTAATATTGGCCGCCATGAATAGCCTATCGCGTGCTGAAAAATGTCGTTAAGCCCAACAACAACTTCATACTTGGATTGCTTCACACTTGGATTGCTTTTTGTTATTTATAAATGGTGGAATGATGATTTCTATACATTTTGGAGTGGTTAGGTCTGATATAAAAAAAAACCTTTGCTGTCACCTTCCCTACACATGTACAAAGTACTACACAAGGTAGTAATTTGCTTTTCTTACTAATTTGCACTGATTTATCCAAATTTTTTGTCTTTAAGGGAACAATATGAATCTGTGCAAGGTAAACCTTGGTACATCTATCCCGTTATTAGTGTGATTAGATCAAATATATTTTGTTTGTTGTCACTGTAATAGTGCACTAGTTGATCTGTTTGACTATGTCATGAAACTAAAATTTGAAGTTGGTTTCAAAGGTCCACTGATGCAAGAGAGTGCTGCCCTAACGGCAGATGAATCAAGTTTGCACATTCGTTTATAGGATCAAGTTTTAAAAGGCCAATTTAATTATGTTGGTTTGGCACTGTATACTAATTGCCATAACAACTTTTCTCAATAAATAGGTATTTATTGGTGATTGTAAGTACATGTATTCCAGGCCAATCATATTGCAAGCAATATGTAAATCAACTCCACTTTCTTGATACCTCAATATAGAAACAACAACTGAACTGAAATAACAAACCAAACAGAGAAAACTGACCCTAGCTCAACAGTCAGTGTGAAAATGACACCAGATGTCATAATCTTATATAGTGTGACCTTGACATTGAAGAATCCTACATGGCACAATAGCCATATTACATCTATGCTTTGGCTCTTGATTCCCTTCTATAAGAAATATAATTTGGCAATGATCCTTGAGAAGGAGCTGTGGAGTTAATAGGCAAACATGGAATGTAACCAGATTTCATGTCTCTGTTAAGGGCTTTGGAGCTGAAGTGCAGAAAATGGGAAGAGATTTACATGTGACTTTGTCCTTAAAGATAAAATCCTGAAGTGATGCTTGTGATATGAGCCAAAAGATAAGTGCTCCATGGTTCATCCCTGAACCTTAGACAGCTAGATGTCAAGATATTAAACAAAAGTTAAAGCTGCCATTATATATATATATATATATATATATATATATATATATATATATATATATATATATATATATATATATATATATATATATGAAGATATATAGACCATGAAGATAGAATTTCAAATGTGGAATGCAAAATATCTTCTGTTGGCATTAAGCAAGTGTACCAAATTTCATCTATCTTAAACAGCTCCCATGTTATATAGCAGAAAATGCTGATGAAACCAAAATTATTGGCATATAAGTGTTAATAAAGATGGGACCCCCCAAAAAAAAGTTTCATCTCTGAATCTCAAATTGCTCTAAATTTAATTTTGGGACCCCAATATAGTACATGGATTGGAATGTACAGCATGATAGAAAATTTTGAATCTCAAATTGCTCTAAATTTATAGAAGGGAAAGTACAGCATCATAGAAAATTGAAAATACCCGTGACCTTGAATACAAAGACACAATATCCCATTTAGTCTATAATCAAATGCAAATGAAAATCTGTAAGCTAAGTATACCAAGTTTCATTGCCTAATCTCAGACAGCTCTTAAATTGTAGAAGAAATGAATGTGTGATAGAAAACTAAAAATACTGACATGTGACCATGACCTCAAAGAAATGACCCCAATAGGGTAAATTAAGACATTTTCTAATGTTCATATAATACAAGTTTAAAGTATAAAGTTAGTTGTAATAGAAAATTTAAAGTATTTGCCAGTGATTTTGGCCAAGACTAATATAATACATGCCATAACTTTTCATGAAATAAACTCATAACATGTTTCACTCTCAAACACAAATTAGAAACTGGAATGGAAAGTGATGGAAGACTACAAATATTATGACCTTCACCTTGGTGTTATAATCAACAATCTGGTACATAACATGACTTCTCAACATCAAAAATCATAGCTTAATTTCCTATAGTTTTAAAGTTATTGAGTAGAATGGAGAGTGTGTGGGAAATGTAAAATATTGAGCCCAAGCCTCAATCATAAATACACAAACCCCAATATGGTTTACAGCACATTTCATAGATTATGTTTACCAAGTTCCTTAATCTCGAGTGGATTTAAAGTTGTAGAGTGAAGAGGAAATGATATCAAAAAGGATTGGTGACCTTGACCTTGTAGATTCACTCTCTTAATGAGGTTTGTTATCCATCTTCAAATGATGTACAAGTATACCAAGGTCATCACTGAATAACAAATGGCTTTACAGCAGCAGAACACAAACAAAAATTTGCCAGATCGGTGGACTGGAAGAGCAAAAGAGATGTATAGAAACGAAAATACAATATCATATAAATGCAGGAAACAAATATAAGACCTCCTTAAGACCTGCCTTATTCAGATAACTAAACTGCTGGTACAGTTATGACCACACCTTTAAAAATGTATGAGATGCTATTTTTCTCATCTGACTTGAAACAGGATGATATATAAATATATGTAATCAAGATCTCTGATGAATTCAGTAATAAGCAAACTTGTGCATATTAATGAGATCATGGATCTGATTGGGCAAGCTTGTTACTACTCCAGAGACCATATCTCTGATTTTATGTTGATGATTTTGGAATATAGTTCTTCCATCAAGGGTTTGATATTAAACCAGTGATAATTCCAGTTTTCACTTACAAACCTGGCAAGATGATTCTGGGAAAATGATAATAAAAATTTAATTTTTTTCATTTATATTATGTAAAATTTGGGCTACTGGCATGAAATTGTACCTGCCCAACACAGTTTTAGTTGTCTGGGCTAGTTTAAATAGGGAATTGCAGTCCACTCAATGAGTCAGATAAGCCCATGTTAATGAGCTT